GGTATAGTCATTTATGAAAAGGCCTCTGCACACTGAGGTGAATATTGCATTATCAGCCAGTTAGGCTGAGACATAATGCGAATTATTAGTGCTGGCTGACCTAATCACAACAGGAGCGAGGCCGACTGGGTGATGGGTTGGGTACCGTATTTGCATGCAATGATGAAAATATTTCGGGCCTCACATCGATGCCTTTTTAAAAACAACATGTACTGTATGCACAGCAGGGCTAAAATCGTCGGTCAGTGCTGGATATTTAGTCTAAAAATAGCCTCCACTTGGCTCTTGAGACTATTTAGCCCAATAACCACTGCTGGCATCTTTACTTTTTGCCGTAAATTTGAATATGCCTTGTTCCCTGAGAGCTGGCAGACTGTTGTGTTTGTGTAATGTGTGCAGTCATTGTATTGTGGTGTATTGTTTTGATAGAAGCTGTTGGCACAGAGGCTGGTGGAAAAGGCCCTGTGCTGGGTTCCTATTTATATGCAGTGTCTGTCTGGACATCTGTCTAGGGAAAGATGAAAGAATAGCACTGCTCAGGAATTGTGCATCAGGATTTGTGCCACTACTTGTGCTGCTGGTGCATGTTTTTAGGGGGGCGAGAGGGTCATTCAGACTTTACAATGCTCCACTGCTCTGCAGATGTGATTTGAGGTTTATATGACCAATAATTAGCTATCTTTCCCTTTTCTTGGATTATCAGTTTGGTGCAATCCAGAGTGACAGTTTTCTTTTATTAGCCACAGATTGGGCCACAGCAGCTTTCACTTCAGTACAGAGCTGGTTTTATATGCTGAGCACATCTTCACTTACCTTTTCTCTGGCTGCTTCTGCACTATGTTGCAACTTTATGTTGAGCACAAAAATAAAATAAAATAAAAGTTGATAAAAGTCTACATTAGGTGCTGTGCAGAAGTCACAGAAACAAAATAATATTTCATTTCCTAGATTTAAAAAAAAATGTTTTAGTTTTTTTGTCGAGTGTTGATCCTGTTCTTACAATATTTATCAAGCTGTTCAATTATTAAATATACTTTAACATTTATGCATGCAGTGTTTACAATATCATGACCATGTTGAGGAATGTACTTTGGGATTTTTATGAGGGACACAGACAATCACACTGTGAAATCTTCAGACTGCACATATTAAAAAAACAGCAATTTATCTGCCAGTTATAGTTACAGTATCAAGGTTTATATGTGCCTCCTTTCCCCTATTATATTTTGTATTATATCTCTTAATTTTTTCTTATGATCATAGTTGTATATCTGCTTTTGACTGCCTTATTTACACAGAAAAGATGTAATTTAATTATTAATGGTTACATTTCATGTACAGTTTAAGCGTGAGTTTGACACCTCGTGACTGTTTCAAGGTGTCATTGTTCCTCTTTTTTGGTCATCTGTCAATGGTAATAAAATGTTTTGGCTGCAGAAGTGAAATGAAACCTATAAACAATACCTGAAGGGTATTTAACCACGCTGCCCTGCCCCTTTTCTTTTCTGCAGATGGTTCACTTCCCACACTCGACTACATTGAGGTACAAAAATCAAATGTCCCGACCCCTCCCTCTCTCACCTGAGTAGTAAACCTTCCTGATTTGAGTAATTCTTCTCCAATTTCTGATCCCTTCCCGAGTTAGCGCTCCTTTTTTTTACCTAAATGACAACTCCAGCCACCCACCTCCCCTGCTTCTTAACTGTGTTTCCTGAGTGGAATGCCATTTCTGATATTTCCCCCCTTCCCCCCAAGCTTTTCTCCTTACTGGAATGGTATACTCTCCCAAATTTTAATTCCAGTCTCTATTTTCTTTTTACTGACTCAGACAATGTGTTCTTTAATCTTCAACTTAGTTTGTTTTCCTGCTTATTTCTCCCCAACTCCCTGATGCAAACCGTCCATTGGGGTTCTCCACTGTGTCTCAGGCCTGCTTCTAAGAAAACGCTCCAATGGTTTTTCTGCTAAACACAACACCTATGTAACAAGATTTCACACCTTTCTGCTTCAGTGAAGTCTCTCTTTTTTTTTTCTTTTTTCACTGACTCAGACCTAGCATTGCTCCCCTTGTAGAAGCACAAATCCCCTGAATTTCTACATTAAACCTGTCCTCCGTTGTATTTTTCTTCCTGTCGTCCTCTCAGTTTCTCAGTCCAGGGCTGCATCCCTCTCTCCTCCACCCTACGTCGTCATCCTCATCTCTTGCTCGGGGCTTGTCTCTTTTGTTCTGCTGCTCCTCACCTGCCTGTGCTGTAAGAGGGGAGGAGTGGGGTTCAATGTAAGTCTTCAACATGTAAGAGATCTATTCACCTCTCTCTGCTTTCTTTTGCTTCTTTTCTTTGTTTTTTAATGCGTTTTGTGCTCGTCTGCATGCTTTTATATGTGTCTGACTTGGTAAACTGCACAAGTATTTGTTTTGGAAGTGTGAACAGTCAGTAACTCCAACTTAATGAAGCAGAAGGGGTCAATAATCATCTCTCGGTCTAATTTTGACTTAGTGTTTTTGTTCAGCTGGCAGACAGAGTACCATTTGTTCAGAATGAATGATTTTTCATTGTCTGTCCTTGGTGGTTACTGCTAAACTCAACTTTATTATTAAGTGGAAAAATACGTTTTATTTTATATTCATAGCTATTACAGCTTAGTGATTTTTTTATGTGCTGCTGTGGTTCAACCAGGAGTTCGATAACGCAGATGGGGAGGAGTGCTCTGGAGGCTCCAGTCCCATCCAGGAGGACAGCCTGTCGTCATGTCCCTCCCTCCCTGAGGTCTACACCTTGCCAGTCAGAGACCGCCCCAGCTGCCCCTCCCTGCAGGATGGAGCAGGTAAAAACCTAAAGTGCCTCTCACTTTGCTCAAACTCTTATTGAGCTTCCTACCGCTCAAAATAAAGATGAAATCCTGCACTAAACTCCCTCAGGATCTGTTGCCTGAATCACTGATGCGGATCCACTAAAGGTCTCAAACTGAGTGCACAACCAGAAGGATTGGACTCCCTACTGAACCTCAGTGAAGTGGAAACTATGATTTGTGACAATTTTGCATCAGGGCTGTAATCAGGACACAGGCAGGGATGTGTGGAGTTTATATATTTGGTTCAATTCAGTTTTATTTATATAGCACTGCAATATAACCTGCAAACGTATTCAAACTATACAGTAAAGTGTCATGAGTTTTGCTATTTAGTGGTCTCACTGACCGCTCACAGCACTTTACACTGCAGGCCACACTTATAGTGCACACAGTTCTATTCTATGCACATAAGAGCTTTATCTACCTTACACTCACACCTTTGGACTTTAAAAAAAATCATCAATTAATCTAACTGTAGACTGTGGAAGGATGCCAGAGTAGCTGGAGAAAACCCTCGCAGGCACAGGGAGACCATGCAAACTCAACATTATAATGAGAGACTCTGACTTCCTTTGAGCAAGCTTTCTTGAGTTGTATGTTTGAACTCTGATGGTACAGATTCTGATGATGAAAGTTTTCAAAAAGTAGAGAAATATTTCTCTCTGCTTAATTCAGGTTAAAAAGCTGAACGTATGAGCATGAACAATAATCAAGTTTATTGTGGAAACATTGAACTCTCTCTGCACAATGGCATGAGCTGATGATTGTTTTCATTATTGATGAAGTTTATATAAAATCACAAGAAAAAAAGGAACAAAAATCTGTTAAAGTTTCTTAAAGTGATGACGTGAAATTTGTGATTTTGCTTTATCAACACTCCAAAACATGAAATTATTCATTTTTGCTGTAAAATGAGAAGGAACAAATCCTTACATTTGAGAAGCTGGAATGAGAGATGTTTTGACCTGGAATAACAGCTTAAGCAGTCAACTGATTATCAAAGTGGCGGAAGATTATGTTCATTGATCATCGCAGTTCAGATTGCACATGCACAGCAGGAAAACACAACATGGAAAACCAGGGAAAAATACAGCGAGAGTAGATTTCTCAGTGAGTTAAAATTTTGTCCATGACTCTGAATTTTCCAGCTAGATACATTTTTATATGATTTCGTATATGTTTAAAACATGGTTGGGGTGGATATGTCATATTTATGTGTTGCTACAGGGCAGAATCTGAGTGTTTTTGTTCTGTTAATAAATTGTACATCTGAAAGAACATCAACTGCTGACGTCTGTGTGACCCTAATCTGTTTTTACTTCTGGTTTTTTTTGTAGATCCCAAATCTCAGTGCTTCAAAAGGCACGCTTTAAACTATCTCCAGGAGATAGGAAATGGCTGGTTTGGAAAGGTAAGGAAATCTGAAATATAACCATCCCAAATCATTGGTTGTCTTTAAAACAGCATCCCCTGCTTTAATTCTGTCTAACAAACAGATTACAGATGCTAACTCAAAGTAGTTCTTTTAGTACCCATCTCTTCCTGTGGGAATTTTCCATGTTATTGTCCATCGATCTCTTCTAGGTGATTCTGGCTGAAGTGCTGTGTGACTGCAGCTCCTCGCAGGCTGTGGTGAAGGAGCTGCGTGTCAGTGCCAGCCCTCTGGAGCAGAGGAAGTTCTTGGCTGAGTCTGAGCCATACAGGTGGGAGAAACTGCTTAAATTTTGGTAGCCATATTGCAGCCTTTGAGTGAGATTCTGTAAAATTTGCATAACAGTAACCACTGGAGCCACAAGAGGCAGGTATGGAGAAATAATAAATGTAGGATATCGAATCAGGTGTGACTCTCTTATACTTGCCAGGACTGCACAGACTCCTGTGAAAACTTAAGCGTAACACTACTGTTTCCATTCGACTTAAGAAGCAGCCAGGTACTGCTTGACTAACTGATCATCAGCAAGTGTGAGGAACTGTATAAAATCAAAGGTTTTGGTGGTTTACTGGTTTAGAGCATTCAGTTGTGTATTAACGCAATGCTACATTCTGAAAGGTCTGACCTTGGTTAGACCTTGGTCTGACAAGGTTACATCTCAGTCTCTATAAGCCTCAGTTAGCATTTTCATGCCAGTACAATTAGAAAAAGGCTTAAAAACTATGGCTTGTTTGGAAGGATTGCCAGAAGAAAGCATCTTCTCTCTAAAAAGTTGCAAATTGCATCTGAAAAACCACAAGATCTCTGGAAAGATGTCCTTTGGGTAGTCAAGACCAAAGTAAAGATGCTTGGAATAATGTACAATACCACATTTCAAGAAAACTAAACGCAGCATATCAGCACAAACACTTCATACCAACTGTCAAACACGGTGGTGGATTGGTAATAATTTGGGCACCTTGCACACATTGAGTCAACTATGAACTCTGTATACTAAAGCACTGTAGAGTCAAATGTGAGGCCATCTGTCAGCTAAAACTTGGTCCAAATTGTGCATCGATGCCAAGCACAGGAGCAAATCTGAGAAAGAAAAGAGTCAGTGTTGCAATCAAAGTCAAATCTGAAATGCAACTCAGTGAGCTGAAGCAGTGTTGCAAAGAAGCGTGGGTCATAATTCCTCAACAACAATGTGAGAGCTGGATAAAGTCATACAGAAAGTTAAACTGCTTCAAGTCGATGCTCCTAAAGGTGGTTCTACAGCCTGCTGAATCATGTGGTGTGTTTAGGTGAAAGTCATGTCTTTTGTTACGTGACTTTATGTTCGGTTTCAGTGTGTTTGTGCAGTTTTGTGATATTTTGGCTTGAATGATTGAGGATTCATTGGTTTGTATGTGAGTGTCTGGTCCTGTGGATCGGTTTGTGCTGTGATTGGTGTGTTACTACTGAGTTTTTAAGGGTGCACTTACAGCTATAGCATATATACTCAGATTCACTAAGGCTTGTCTGCTAGCTCTGCATGGTTTGCATTTGTGATGTGAATCATTTATAATTCATGTGATGAAAAGAACAAAAGATTTATTTTACTAATAGAACTATTCGTATAATTAATGTGAAGATTTTTAGTCACTTAAAGAAATATAAGTAGATAATGGTGACAGCCCTGATTAGCCTGTGTGGTCTGAGATGGAACTGAATTCCAGTGTTCAGGATCATCTAGCTAAGTTTTGCTCACTTTAAGTCTCACTGTTAAGCATTTAAAGGCAGCGTATAAACATTTATCTATCTTCTGTCTGTTCCTGCGTCCCTCTTATGTTTCCATTCAGGAGCCTTAAACATCCCAACATCCTTCAGTGTTTGGGGCAGTGCAGTGAGAGCATCCCCTTCCTCCTGGTTATGGAGTTCTGTCAGCTGGTAAGTAACTGAACATAAAAGGAGGCGGATGAACTAATAATAGGAATCACACAAATGAAAGGTGCATATTTTTAGTTTAGTATAGCGTGCAATGTTTTTGTTGTGCTATGCTTGGGGTTTTTTAGATAATTTGTGCACAAATTGGTTATGGTATATCGGTGATGTCAGTGAGAAACACATGAGAAATCACAGCCGAGCTGCATCGATAAGATCTTTACATCTTATTTTAATTTCATATAATTTGAGGCAAAATAGTTTTTTACAGTTAACGATGCTCCGCTGTCACTAAAATCTGTTTTGCGTCGATACAATCAATTTGTTTTCCTTCTCTCGGCCGGTTTAATCACCAGCTGATTAAGAAAACCATATGAGCAGACTTCCAGGCCAAACAAAGATACAAGCAGATCAATTACAGCAACACAGTGAGAGGAGCCACACAGCACTGGAGTCCTCACTGACTGCAGTTACCCTCTTTGATAAAGTCTCCTATTGTCCTTTCCTTGCAGATATTTTTCATCCCTTTATGTTGTCCTCATTTTATTTCCTTGCTCCTCCAGGAGCACAAATGACTAACACAAAGGCTGCCAGCTCATTACTAATTCCCCTGCTGCTTTTGAGGCGCTGTGATGTAAAACACCTAAAAAAAAAAAGGGGGGGGGATATTTGCTGCAGAAGTAAAATATATCTTCTTTGCCTACATGATGGTCCTGCAGGTTTTATCTCTGTTTCAGGAGAAGGAAGAACACTCTGTATGCACTTCACTCAGCCATAATTTTCAATCCACTGTTTATATTTTTGTTGTGATGTACAACGTAGGGTGACTTGAAGCGGTATCTGCGAGCCCAGCGTAAGTCAGATGGGATGACTCCAGACCTGCTGACCCGGGACCTCTTAACCCTCCAGAGAATGGCTTTTGAGATCACCTCGGGTCTGCTCCATCTTCACGAAAACAACTACATCCACAGGTCAGTTGTCGCTTTCACTTCCACTGTTGCCACGCCTCCAAACGTGAGGATCTCTGCTGAGGGTAGCTGCTTGTTTTCTCCCTGCAGTGATCTGGCTTTAAGAAACTGTCTTCTGACCTCAGACCTCACTGTCAGGATAGGGGACTATGGCCTCTCACATAACCATTATAAGGTCAGGATTTTTTTTTTCCTCTGAAAAATGAAATCCAAAGTCAATTCAGTCAAATCCATAATAATTTCTGTGGCGTGTCTTTATGAAGGAGGACTATTACCTAACTCCAGACAAACTATGGATCCCTTTGCGCTGGATTGCTCCTGAGCTGCTGGAGGAGTACAGAGGATCTCTCATTGTTACGGACCAAACCAAGACCAGCAATGTGTGGTATGTTTTAAAGCTGCTCTGTGTTAACACCACTGGGAACAGATCTGAATTAACGAGTTAAGCCGATAAGGCTGGTGATAAAATATTGATGAAAACACAAAGGTTTTTTTAATCTGGGGTCCAATTTGAAGCTACTCTTAAATCTTTTCCTACCACCATTCATTCCTTTAATCAGCGTTGCTCAGGTTAAATCAGATTAAAAGCAACTTAAATGATGCTCTCTGGATGGACAACAAAGAAAATCTAATTTCTCCTAACAGCTGTGCAGAGATTAAATGAGGATTGAGTGCGTGGACAGTCGGCTATGTGAACATAATCTGAAATGCTCGTTCTACAGTCACAGTTATATTACAATATGATACAAATGCAGCTTGTTGTGGATCCATAAAAGAAAATAGTTCCTACATAAAACTGCTGTTTGTGTTATGATTTGTGGGAACACCAAACTAAAGAGCAGTATGATCTCACATTTGCTGGAGTAGAGTCCAGCTCAGTTTGTCAGCAGTCTTAAAGCTGTAGCCAAGCCCGGTGATGCCAGAAGGAGTGCTGAAGAAATGAGAGCAAATCCTTTAAGCTCTAATATTACAACCTTCCCTTTCATGTGCTTTTTTAAACGAACCAACAAGAAAACAACCTCCTAACAAAACACACGAGTGGAGCAAAAATGCCTAAGAGTATTTATTCTTTTTTATTCTTTCTGAAAAAACATAGTTTTTCTTAAAAAATGGAACAAAACAATTCACATAACAGTTTTTATTCTCCTCGGTTAGAAAGTCAAACCTCTGTGGGTGTTGGAGTAAATGCTTTTACTCCAACACCCACAGCAATGGTGGTGTTGGAGTAAAAGTGTTATATAACAACAAACCTCAGAGATTTCTTTTGAAGATTCACCCCTTTTCACTTCTCCAACTCATTTTTTCCTCTCAGGTCTTTGGGGGTGGTGATATGGGAGCTGTTTGAGTTTGGCTCTCAGCCCCACAGACACCTGAGTGATGAAGAGGTGCTGACCTTTGTCATTAGGGAGCGACAGATCACGCTTGCCCAGCCTAGACTGAAGCTCTCCCATGCAGACTACTGGTCAGTACTTATCCACTAATTAGACTGCATCGATCCGAGCACAAACTGTGTCTCTCCAAACTTAGATCCTCTTGTTTTTCTCCCTTGTCTGCAGGTATGAGATCATGCAGTCCTGCTGGCTACCTCCGTCGCAGCGCCCTTCAGTAGCTGAGATATTCCTCCTTCTCTCCTCCCTCTTGGCTGCTGAGCGAGGAATAGCGAGGGGGAGTGTTGGGGAAGAGGATGAAGAGGACGAGGAGTATGAGGAGGGAAGAAGAAGGAGAGGGGAGAGCGAGGAGTCATTTGAAAGACGCTGGGACTTACTCCGTCCACCTGCCTTTCAGACTGCAGCAAACGAGCGCCAAAGGGAGAGGGATTACGCCAGGGAAGACAGAGACAACTCCTACCCTCTACTGGACCCTGTGGGGAACTGTATTACCCCATCCACCTCTGAACTGGATGACATCTTGACAGTCACCGAAACTAGCAAAGGCTTGAACTTTGAGTATTTCTGGGAGAAGGCTCATGCCAGACGAGGCTACAAACCTCTTCCTCCTCCTCAGCCAATCCCTACTGTGAACAATAACCATAGACAGTCTTTGGACACTCCTACTGTCGTCCCAGTGATAAGCGCCCGTAGCCCATCCCTCGCCAGCGAGTACTATATCAGACTAGAGGAGCACACTCCCCAAGACAAGTCGCCGTCTCTCAAAGGGAAGGTACATTCCTCTTTCCGCTCAGATTGCCCTGGAGACATGGAGCTCATGGAGATCCGCAGCGGGATGCTGGGCAAAGAGCGAGTCCCTTATTGTTCATCTGACAAGTGCGGAAAGGGCCTCCAGACCGTCCGATCGAGCGAGGTTCACGTCCAGTTGCCCAACACAGGCGTGGCTGAATTCAGAGACACTTCGAGCAGAGTGACTGACTTTTCCATAGTTGATTTAGGCGATGACGATGAAGTGGAGAAGAAAAAGAGCAGTAAGGCGGATAAAAAATCCACAAGCTCTCAAGCTCCCATCCTCCCTCCCAAGCCTCGTTCTATGTCCATGTCATCAGTCAATCCTCTTCACTCGCGCCCTCTTCCCGCCCCTCCACTCAGATATAGAGGACTGCCCCACTACACTATCAGCGGAAAAATTGAGACAGACCCCCATCACATAAGCACCTGCCCACCATCTACCTTTGATCACCTCGGGCTTCACCGAGCCCGACAGACTCTTCCCCCCTCCCCGTCCCTATCGCCCTCGCTTCCCCCATCGAGCCATCCAATTTACCCTCAACCTCCTCAAATGTGTCCTCCTCCTCTTCCTCCCCACTCCAAACCACAAAGGAATTGCCCCCTCTACAACACAGGGGACATTCACTTGAGATATAATAAGCCCCAGATGCAGAGATCCAACAGAGACCCACTAACCTGTGATTTGTCCGATAGAGAGAGCATGCTGCACACTTATAAGGAGACTTCTCACTCGCGTGCAAAAGACTTTGACTCTCCCGTACGTCGAGAAAACCCTTTGCGCCCTATTTATCGAAATTTACCCCGCCCTGAGCTCACAAAACCCCAAATTGACAGACAGTCTTCATCGAGTCCGACTTACTCAGATGAGGATGACTCTCCTTTCATGTCTCCCGAGAGACCTGGCTGTGGGACGACTGTCACTCATTCCAGTCTATCTGAAGATGCAGACCCCGCCACTACAGAGCTCTTCTCCAGGGGAATGAAGAGGACTCAGTCACGCCTTGACACCATCCTGCCTGCAATTTGGAAGGAAGATGCTGAGCAGCAGGCAGAACGTGTCGCTGCAGCCAAGAAATCCCCCATGCATCTGTTTCTGACGGAGATATCTAGTGTGACAGAGTTGAGTGAGTCCAGGTCGGAGGGCTCATATGCAGCGGAGAAGGAGGAGAAAAGAGAAGGAGAGAGATGGGGGAACTTTCTGCTGCCCAACAGAGGCATGCGCCGCTCCCAGTCGCTGATCACAGAGCTGGGATCAGCAGGACAGTCATGGGGACCAGAGAAACATGTCAGCAGTGCAGAAGCTGAGGAGGAGGATGCTGTCACTAAAGAGTCATTCCAGAGGGATCTTTTTCTCACAGAGATTGACACAGGAAATATGGAGGCGGACATAGAAGGCCTACCAGGAATCGATCCAGTAAAATACCTCTATCCTGCAGGATCCAGACTGAGGCCCTATGTCTGCGCCCCAGGCCTCCCCTCATACACTGAGGCAGAGGAAGCCTACTCCAAAGGCATACGGAGATCCCGCTCTCTCCTGTCTGAGATCACAACAGAAAAGCACGATTCTGAAATACATTTTACCGAGAAGGAGCCGCGGAGAACTGAAATCACCAGAGAGGAGTTCCTGAAAGAGATCCAATCAGCAGAAACCTTTCTGACCGAAATCATATCGAGACAAAATGCAGCCGCACATAGGAAGGAAGCAGATTCATCTTACTCCCCTACTCCAGTGTCCCCTGAATATGAGTCCATCTGCATTGACCCAAACTCAGCTCAGACCATCAGATTCCAGTCAGAAAGCTCCATACGAGCAGCCAACAAGGGCAAAGATGACACACAGACTGAAGCCATCTATGCCCAAGTGACCAAGCGTGCTAAGAAGAGTGAGATCAAAGTTTCCTTGAAACCTGACATCCCTATTCTTCACATTGGTTCAAACAAACCGGACAGCCAAGTAAATAATGCTGACCACTGCCAGTCCGGTGAGTTTGTGTTTTCTGAAATCATGCCTAAAAATGGTTTACTACATAACCAAACACCCGTGTCTCAGAGAGAAGTCGAGGAGTGTTCGGACGGCCCTGCCTTACCTGCCAGAGGAGAGCAAACAGATCTGCCAGAGCACTTTCCCCCTGGATCCACAGAGAACGTTCAGGAAGTCAACACTGTGAACCTGCGTGAGAGCCAATCACTCACTACAAAGGAAGCTGTTATAAGCAATGGCGAGATAACAGAAGATGACCTACAGACGCACAGTCCTTTGAGGGGGGATCAAACAGACGTGATTTCTCATGATCCTGAGAAAACAGCTGATTTGGAGAACTCTAAAAACGTAGATTCTCTTGTTAATGAAAGTTTTGCAGAAGCGGAAATGGAAAATTCACTTCAGCACAAAGACGAGCGTCACACTGCCCAGAAGGTGCCCACTCCCGCAGCCACTCCTACCACGCCAGACTGGGACCCTTCCTCCGATTTTTCACTCGTCACCCCCACCGACTCAGTCCTATCACCTTTGACTTCCAGCTCGGCCGACTGCCTCACGCCTAGTGACTCATGGACGGGAGGTGGCGGAGGAGGTGGAGGAGGAGTGGGAAGCGGCGGATGGCGGGCTCTGGGAAATGAAACACCACATCGAGACTCTGCATATTTCTCAGACAGCGACTGGGAGGGTGACGGGATGAACAGGAGAAGCAGCAGCGATGGACTTGTTGCCTCCAGGCCTGGCAGCGGGAGAGGAGGTGATCGGGGAATACTGACAGGGATAGAGGAGAAAACCGAAGAGGAGGGTGAGACTGGAGAAAAGAGTCCATTAAGAAATAGTACCCACATGTCAGATAGGACAACGGAAACTGGAGAAGGGAGGACTATTGAGAGTTGTGAAGAGAAGGGTGTACTGTATCCTGAAAATTACCCGATCCCTAATTTAGGAAATGACAAAGATATTCTAAACAAAGCGCTGGGATCTGCTCAGAGAGACGATTCTGGCATTTTCCATAACGAGAGCAAAAAGTCATCCCTGCTGTGCGATGATCCACAGAACAAGGACTGTGTGGACTTAATTGATAAGTTGTTTTCAAAATTAGATGATGAGCCACTTAAAGGGCTTTCACACAGCAGTGGGTACATGATAGACAGCCATTACACAGATGGCATAATTTCTCAGATAGCAGACTGCAAATACCAGGACTTTGAAGAGAGTGACTTAAATCTATATTCCAAGAGTCCCACTGAGACAAATAGCTTGATCGAGTATAAATCTGGCAGCAACTCAAAGAGTTGCATGTTTGGACCAAACAACAAAGATTATAAAAATGTTACAGAGACAGATAACGATCTCAGTCAGCTCAGTTCTCCCACGTCTGGGAATGAAGCTGTGGACTCTGCAGCACCATCCCAAGTTGACAGCACCATCGAGTCCAGATTACCTAAACTTTGTGATATTCAAACGAACAGCGTTATACTTGGAGATGAAAACCTGCCAAATGACGATGGGAAGGCTGCTGATGCAAAAGCGAGCGGTCCGACATGTCTTTGGGCTGAAGAGCCTGAGAAATGTGGAGAGAGGCCCTGTGTGGACCACAATGAGCTGGGCTTGAGAAACCTTCGCTACTCAGATGGCGAGGAGGAGAGCGGGATCACAGCAGAGACAGAGGAACAGAAGGCTGCTGCAGAGCTGAGTATCGCTGTGAAGGAGAAGCCACCCCTCAGGGGAGCAGCAAGTGGCATGAACTCTGCTAACGATGTGGATAACAACTCCTGCGAGGGTCTAAATGCGACAGCTAAAGAGTTATGGAGTGCTCTGGAGGAGGATGAAGACAGACCAGGATCTGGGGCGCTTAGGGGCGAGTTTGACTGCTACCGCTTTTCACAACTAAGGGACTTGCGCTTGTGGCCAGATGAGAATGACCAGTGGGCCTCCCCGGAGAAGAGGTGTCAGGGAGTCGACTTGAGATCTGAATTTTTCTCCGGGTTCGGGAATAAGGCGTGGGAGGTGGGTGAGAGGCTTGTTGTAGGTCAGGAATATTGGGAGACCGAAGAAAATGATGAACTGGCAGGAAGTGAACCTCACCCTGCTGTCTTGGAGGGCTGTGAGGAAACTTGGAACAATGAAACCCAAGGGCTAAGCGGCAATCTTTGCATTAAGGAAATGTGGGACACAAAAGACAGAGAAAGCCAACAGACGATAGCAGACATACAGCAAGAGGAAAACATTGAGAACCTGGGGGAAATTGACAGCATTAAGAAAGACATAAAAAGTGACATTTTGCATGTGGAAGTAGAGAATATAGAAATACCAGAGGAAGAGACCTTGGAGGAAGGACAGAGGCAGAATGCATCATGCACAGAGGCAGCCAGGGACAGGGAGGGTCGGCTAGACTCCACAGAGACGGCACAAAATCAAGATTTTAACACATGGCCCCAGAATCAACTCTGTAACAGAGTGGAGGAGGCGATGTCGGCTGTGCACGCTGACAGAGAGGCAGGCTCCAATTTAGAAAACTGTTTCAGCCACACTTTGGAAACCAAAAGCTCAGATATAACCATCTGCATCGCCGAAGCTCCTCATGTGACGTTTTCAGAACTGGAAAATTTTAAATTGGGCTTCAATTCGGAAGCAGAAACGAGACCGTGTTTTGCCAGGCAATACATAGAAGAAGGAATAAACCCTATAAAAGTGGAAGAGGATTACAGAGATGTGCCCCTGCCAGCTAATACCAGTGATCTTGATGCAAAGGAGGAGATAGATCAGTCATATCCACAAGAGATCGACAATTTCAGCTCAGTAGATTTTCCGAGTCCTCCACCGAGCATAGACCTTGATATGCAAGATGATAAACTGGAGAGTTTAGACGACTCTTTTCCTAGTCCACCGCCATCCGTCATAGAGGGAGAGGACTTTATTAGTCACATTAATCTAGAAGACTTTATTACCAGTACTGAGACAGAGCAACTTATTTCCGCAGCACACAACACAGATGTTCCAGAGACACCTCTGCAAGAATTGCCACCTGCTACAACTCAAAGTAAAGGGATCTCTGCCAATCTCAGCCTCCCCTCTGTGCATATAACACTGAGCGATGAGAGCAACCTGACATCCAGCATAGAAAGCAAGGATGGTCATAATAACCTGCCCCAGAAATCATCCCCCATAATGCCTTCTGCACCTCATGGTCCCCTGAACAACCTCCCACAGCTGTTGATTTCTGAGTGGAAGGACTTGGATGAGGAGCCTCTGGAGGACTTTGAAAAACTGGAACAACTGTGCTACATATCTGGCGATGAAGAGGAAACTCTGGGGGACCTCTTCTTGGGCAACCTGGAGCTTCTGGAGTCTTTAAAGAAAGCACCTGATCACAAAGTTAGCAGTGGTGACGGTCATACAGTCAGCAAGACATGCGACTCCTCTATACCCGAGGGTAGCAGGGTGGATTTAAAGGAGGACGAGATGTCTGATGACTCTGACAAATTGGAATCTGTACAACCGACCATCCTGGATTCCCAGAACAGTCTGCCGCCTCAGGACGAGAGGAGCGACGGACAGAGATCACCGGGTCAAATTTCTGATGTCAAGGACCAGCGGTCTCTGAACAAGATGACAACCAAGAACGGCCTCATGATGCAGGTCAGCATGATTTCTTGTGGTTTGCTGTGCGTGTGAGCGGTGCTCCTTGAGTTTGCTCGTGCTCTTTACTGCTTTGCTTTGTTGCTCCAGGTGTGTGAGGAGAGGCTGCAGTTCTCACTCAGTGAAAATGTGAAGACAAATGTGCTTTGGGGGACGACTGTTAAAGACACCGCCATGCTCCGGACATGGGGGGAGGAAGTCACAGGGAGCAGCGGTGATCTGGTCACTGTGAAAGAACAAAGAGAGGATGAGAGGTATGGATGCTGCAGAATTAAAACACTGGCTACAGATTATTCTGTTTGATGCATCCTGTATTTCTGGAGGAAATAGATCCAATAAAATATATTCACACAGAGTTCAAATTACTTGTTTTGTATTTTTACTGTTTTCAGTTCAAGTAAACTCAAAGACAAGATTTAATTCAACTAGATGGACGTGACAAGATGAACTGTTGTTTTATTATTAATATTCTGGTGAAATATTCCTCTTTCTTTCGTTCTTCCTTCCTTCCTTCAGTCAAGAGGAGCAGGAAGCTGTCCCTGCCATTGAGCCCCCCATCGAGTCTGATGAACCTAAAGCTGAGCCGCTCACTGTGATCGAACAACCTGAGGTCCCATTACCTCAGCTTACTGCAAACCAAGCGATGAAAGGTATCAGCGTCTTCCACGTTTTACAAGTACTTATCAATTATCCCTGATTATACTGGGATATCGCTGAAAAACATTTAGCATACAAGTAATTTTTGACTGTCTAAGCTAAGTACACCTCTCTAAGCCTTTTTATTTGTTTTCTTCTCCTTTGATTTGGGCTTCCACTTCTTTTAACCCCACAGATCTAAACCTTCTCCCAGATAAAAAATTGTGGGCATTTTCAGACTAATAGGTTAACAGATTAAATAAATCTAGATGTGATACGTCAGTCTTATTTTACAGAATTTAATTTTCTCTACTTCAAATAGAATATTTGTGCTAACTTTGGCAGATATTTACTTCATTGCTTTTGTAATCAAATTTGTGAGTAGGTTTGCTTCTAACATTTCTTTTCTGCTCTCGCTTTGATAGCAAAGCTAGCTCGCCTCTCGCTCACCCTCCCACCTCTTGCTCTGAGTCTTCCCCTCACCACTACTGGAAAAGGAGGATTTGGAGACGGGGCCATCGGAAACCGGATTGGAAGACGAAGAGGTCTTTCGTCTGGGAGCGACCCCGATGAGGAGGAGGAGGATGAGCAGGAGGACGAAAACTCCCGGAGGGTGATTGTAGTCACAGAAACGGACGTGGACAAACGTGTTGGGCTCCGCAGTCTGCTGAAATCACCCAAGGAGCCAATGGACAGAGAGAAGGACAGAGGAAGAAATGTGTCCTTTTTTGATGATGTCACAATCTATCTTTTTGATCAGGTACGTCTCCTTTATTCATTCACTTTTTTATGACGGGTTCTTTTGGAATAAACCTGACTATTTCTTTCATCCCAACAGGAAACTCCAACTAATGAGTTGAGCAATTCAACTCCCACAACTCCAACTGCGGTGTCTATCAAAAGCACCAAGTTGGATTTGCATGGTAAGTTAATCATTTTCTTTCAGTCATGACGAGATGCAGAATAAAGAAGGTCAATTTTAAGTTGCAGTAGCAGTGTTGTCCTGTAGGTCAACATGTCTCAGGTCTAATTGTGAGAAGACGATTAAAGCAGAGGAGCAACACCTGAAGCCTAATCGGAGCTCATGTGTACATCCAGAGATATTATTCAGAGCAAATGGTACTTAAATAAATCTGAAGTTTATTGGGGATTTACATGACAGTAAAAGGGGTTATAGGACATTCATGGCTAAAAGATGATCCTAGTATTAAAATGAAGTATCAAAAAATAAGTCATTTTTTATGCTATAGCTTGTTTTGACCAGCCACTGATCCCAAATGCTAAAATGACAAAGTTTTCCTTACATTAAGTTTTCCCACATAATTTAACAAAACGTGTATGCTATTGTTGCTCAAAGATATAAAAGCAGATTTTGAATGGACTGCACATACTGACAATAATTTTGGTTGCACTGCAGTTTGCAACTGCTGTTGTCCTTAGTGTCAGCAGTGCTTTCTGATCTAGCTGGCTGGCAGCATCTAACCAATCAGTAAAAAAACATCAAATGTGTTCAACACAGAGCCAACTTATAATATGAGCTTGTCAGTTTCTTCAGAGGTGAATCAGTCACCTCCCAAACACACCCAGGTCTATTATGACCACTTATCCTAGGAAAGTGTACTGGAACACTGGAAGAAGTAATACTATGTTAGTTTAAATGTGAGCCTCTGTTCATACTCACATTTGTGTTCCCAGAAAATGTTTATTTATTTAAATTAATTAATTAATTAATTCGATGACTGAATATTTATAAAAAGCCTCAGCTGTTCTGTAGGGTGTTTGTTGCTTATGCTGGTCAAGTTTATTATAGCTACTAAACCTAAAGATAAAAACTGGAACTAGATATGAAAAAAAACAATTAAGTCAAACAATTTTGTGAACTTGGAAAACTAACTAAATTTTAAAAAATTATAGAGGAAATAGTCTTAATTTTGCCATTTGTCACTTTGGCAAAGTTTGTTATTACACACTGCCTGGTGAGGCTTTTTTGTAAGCTGCTTTCAAAAAATATTTATATTGTATTATCTGTACTGACTTTCCTAAATCTTGCCTCTGGAACTTGGTATAAATACAATAATAATAATAATAATAAGAAGAAGAAAGACTAAAACTAATGCTGGAACTAATAAAAACTAAACTTAAACAAGCAAGCTCACTCTGGCAAAAAAACAACAACCTCTAAACGACATAAAATGAAAGCTAAAGAGAAAATACAAAACTAATAATTACCGATGCTGATGTTAGCTGTCAGTGCAGCGCTGCACCACACAGCTGTTACCATAACTGCTGGCTTGTTGGACTCTACGTGCATCAATGTCTGCTGCTTCTTACACAGGGATTCAGTCTCCTCCTTAAGCTGCCTAATGATGTAACAAAATGTGACAGCCACTAGCACATTCCCAGCTAAAATGGAAAACCTCAGTTCAGCCCTCTCCTCTGCAAATATGGAGCCAGAGTTAATCTTCTATAATTATGTCCCGGGATGCTGTGACATGTTGAACTGAGCAGGGATGTTAATCCCGCGCTCAACAATGCAAGCCCGAGTCATGTTTCTCTGCACATTTTCAGCTGCTCTCGCTACTTTCCACTCTCCATCGCATGCACTCAACACCCTTTTTCACAGACTAATGAAAGTTGGGGCTCAGAGTTTCCTTTCGAGTTGTGTCACATACAGAAAAGGCAAAATTAGATTCCTTAATGATCTTTCAGGCCTTTCAAGACTTCAAAGTTTTGAAAGAGGTCCGTGTTACTTTTGAGTTATTTTAAGCTAAGACTGTGTCGCCTCAGTGTGGTTGTTGACTGATAATCTATATCTATTAAGATATAGATTATCAGCTGATTTTCTCCCCTGTGCTTGGTACTGTTTTTTTCTTGTGCATCTTATAAGTGAGTAAACATGTGTCCCAGTCACAGATGGATCATCATTCTTCTCCTCAAGGTCACACTGGTAATTTTACAGGTACTTTTTCTCAGCATAACCTTCAAGCAGGTAAAGCTCGCCCTGATGTACTGAATGATATTGATAATATCAGATTCTCAAAGTTGATGCACAAAACGACAAAGACAGAACTTGGTGGTAAATGGATTGGTACTTCGAGCACCTTCTACTCACGTTTGAGCACTCAAAGCCAGTCTCATTCAAACAGCCTGTTTATACCTTATACATTCACACACTCACATCAATCCACTGGGGGCAACTCAGGGTTCAGTGTCTTGTCCAAGGATGCTTTGACACATGGCACAAGAGGAGCCAGGGATTGATCCTTGATTGGTAGACGACCGGCACCACCTCTTGAGAATAAACGAAGTGGTAGCTTGAAACATCGCTTTGTCAGACATGCTTCATATCGCTTGTATTCTGTTAGATGATGATGATAATGAGGATCTTATTAGTTGTGATGATGGAGGGAGTGGTCCTGTGGTCCTTCCGAATCTGCCATAAAAAACAATATTTTCATTGCTTTTTATGGCAGAATTAGGTAGTTCTAGTCCTCCAAGTTTGACAGTTTGCAGACTTCTTTGACTTCTTAGTGGATTCTCATTTGTTGTGCAATGGAGCTAACAAACGATCAGTAATTGTTTCAGTTGTGATTGTGAACCGGGTTAATGTTTTGGTTTAATTCCAATAAAAAGACTTTCCTTTAACTTTCCCTTACAGTCAAACACATGCTTATTGTCTGGAAACATCCTGTCCCTTTTGGGCTTCCATACATATGCCTGGTGCACTTGTTCTGGTTTTAATACCAGCACAGTCGTGATGCTAATGTTGTTTTTTGTCTCTTTTAGGGCCAAAAAGCAAAGAATCGAAAAGGAAAGAGGATTTATCAGTCAAACCAAGGTCGCCTGTCGGGGTAAATTCAGTGACTTCATCGCGCTTCACTGTCAGCCCGGCTGACGACCCACACCTGGTGTGATGTTGCACATCATCCTGGAAACACTTTAGAGCTCAACCCTCTCGGACTGGCCCGTGAATTAACCCAACAACCAGCCATTCGCCCAGAGGATATTTTTTTATTGAAGAGGCAACTGAAAGAAGAGACTTCGATTCTAAAAGCTGGAAACATTCCAGGTTTTACTAGTGACGGGATTTTGTACGACTGGGGGTTGCTGAGCTCCGGCCTGCCACTGTTTACAGAGATTATACATAGCCTTTGGCTGCAGAAATCTTTGGAAAAGGCAGCATATGCTAGGCGAAGAGGAGCCGGGAGCTTTGTAAAATCTGAAACAGATTCGACAGCTATGCAGTGGGAGTCTTGCTGTGTACCAGCTTACCTTCTCTTTTTCTGCTTTGTTTTGTTTTGCCCTGGGAGTGCGGGGAATGCACTTTCTTTAGTCATTCGTCTGTCTATGTAAACGCTTGGATCCCGGTCCTCTCTTTATTAAGGACATTTTTCATTGCAGTCAGTCAGTTGTTCTTGTAAGCAGCAGTTTGAAACAGAAATTGCTTGACTCCTGTATTTGACAATACTCCTCAGCATTTGTACAAACATCATAATACAAGTGTATACAGTATCATTTTAGAGCTGTTTACTTTTAGATGTATTCTTAGACTGCACGAAAAATGAAACAAGCAGTTTATTTTTACTTTTATTTCTGAAAAGCTTTAATTTCTATATTTATTTCTATGTTATTTTACTTATTTATGTAAAGTCAGTTTCCATGCAATATCTTAATTATTTATTTAATCTATTAAGTTATGTATTTATTTGCGTTGGTGAAATTGCATATATGAACTTAACTATAATTTGTTTGGGACAGAAATGCATCTAGATCTATAACTTCTCCAAGATCTTCATAACAAATAAATCAAAATATTTTCCCAAACGTCTTAATTGCTAAACAAAAAAAAGTATTTTGTATAATTTTACTTGTTAATATATGCCAATATGTATGGAACAACGTCCTGTAATGTTTCATTATTTTCCGATGTCTATGAATTTTTAGCTGTCTTGTCATTCTTTTATCTTAATTAATGACAGTTAATGTAGCTTAGCATGAAAAATTGAAGCCTTTCATTAGTAAATAACTCCCATTTGTTTGTGTATCTGTTAATTTATTCCATTTTCTACTAATAACAGTCCATCATGCAGTCGAGATCCAACTAGTCAATTTGTTTAGTCTGTTTAAATGTTGGTTTAAACTTGTATTGTTTAAAGAATGGTTTTCAGGGGGCAATGTATAAACAAGGGGGAAATAAAAACTATGAAATGTGAACCTCTCATTTGAACTGTGTCGTATAAATAAGCTCGATTGTTGCTTTTATTTCATTCATGACCAAAAAAAGTTGCACTCATATCCAGATACATGCCTGTCAATGAGGGCTAAGTTACAAACTATTGAAATACTAGAAATTTTTCTTAGACACGTATGGGCCGTAAGAGCAAGTTATATATTGTAAATCAATTAACAATGCTTCAGAAGGCACTGACATCACAGATACAGTTAGTGAAAATTAGATGGATTGCTCCAGCTGTCTGTGCTGGGAAAACATGTCAGCCAGCACAGCCATGACCCCAACTCCATAATCTAGGTAGATACAATATAAAAATGTCACCTCTCAGCAAAGGTGAAGCTGGGAAACATGGAAGTTTTTTTCTGCTACTTATTATCATTATTATTATTATTTTATTTATGTATATTTTTGATGTCCTTAAATCAGCATTTTGGGTTAGGTATCTTGAAATTTTGACTTAGTAACTCCACATTAAGATTAGTGTTGTGAGACTAACTCAATATGCTAACATTTTTTTCCTAGCTTCCACTAAATTATCCCTAGGTTGTAAAAGCGGAGGTAGGTGTGTGTGAGGATACCTTAATTAAAATTATACTTATGAAAAACATGAAAAAAACTACTTTAAGTGGTTAATTTTACATTTGCAGTTACACCCAAAAGCATATTGTAATAAATAAATAAAACTCATCATTAGTATTCACCAGTACCTATATTTGCTAATTACACATTCAGATCAACTTAGACCATCGTATTTAGCATTCAAACAGATCTTAATCCATATTTTCACTGTACTGTACACCGAGTTTATGTGTGTATTGTATATATTTCACAGATAGATAGATAGATAGATAGATAGATAGATAGATAGATAGATAGATAATCAAACCTGTGGCAAAAGGCAAAACAAAAAAACACCCTCTGTGATTGTGAAGTGTACTGACACAGTTTCCCAGAAAGCTTTGCGAATGTACGTATTTAATCTGCGACCAGCGGTACATCTGCGCCGCACAACCGGGTTGCAAACACTCAAGAAAACAGAGGGACAAATCATTTTGTATTTCTATTCAAAGCGACTGAAACCTGCATTGGACGTCTTTAATTTTTTCTTAAACCAGTAGGACTCTAAAACCCTGAGGTATGTCAAAGTTACTGAGAAATCGCTCAGTAACGTCGGACCAACGTTCGATAATGCTAGCTAGCTAACATTGGTTAACTCCAAACACAGCCAGCGAAAACCCAAAGATGGAAGCAGACTTAATACTTCGCAGTTTTTATGAGGCGGTGATAGCATGTGAGGAACTGAACACGGCCACGATCGTATCTCAAACGAGTCTGAGAAGAGCTTCGTTGTCAGAAACACAAAAATATGTCTACAGATGGATTTCTCTTTCAGGCTTGATAACGCAGTGAGGTCCATAAGTTTTTGTGTTGACACGCTTTTTGTATTTGATTTGTATTTGTATTGTTTGATAAATGAGTAAAACTAGTGTTAAGTATCTAGTGCTCAAATAATATTATTAAGTAAGGGGATATTAGAGACGTGCTTTTTTTATAAGAATTTAAGAATAAGAATATTGTTTTAGTTGCTGGTCGTGCGTCTGCAGTGATTGCTTTATAAGCCCTTAGAAAACAGTCAAAATGGGATCCTCAAGTTATGTAACCAGATCATTAATAAAAAATAAATTCAGAGTTACATCAACAGCAGCAAATAAAGAACATATACCCCACCAAACTCAGTGACAACCTCATGTACCCTGTGGCAAACTGATCCTAGTTGGCTTTGCCTGTCCTCACAGTTTTTCCATCGATTGCAGATGTCTCTGGCAGATGAGCTCCTGGCTGATCTGGAGGAGGCCGGAGATGAGGGAGAGGATGGACTGTACCCAGAAGAAGAGAGGGACAGCGATGGAGAGCCGAACCAGGGAAGTGCAGACGGAGGGCTGGAAGACATCCCAGAGGAGATGGAGGTGGACTACAGTAAAGCTGAGAGCGTTGCGTCTATTGCAAAGCTTCGCAATAGCAAACAGGTGAGTTGTAACATACAAGAGCTTTACACATGTTGAGATTAGCATTAAAATGTCTGCTCTGTTCTTCCCAGAGTGACTCTTGTGTGTTTTACAGTTTTCAGAGATAATAGACAAAATTTCTGAATATATTGGGAAGCAGCGTAAGAACTCAGAGGGTGAGTGTTGTTATTATTATTTAAGGCTCTTCTCACTATCAGTTTCCATTCATTTCTCTGTTTTACTCTGTAAACACATTTCATTTGAACTCCATGACGACTCTGGGTTACCATAGAGTTGTTATTATTTTTTGTGTGTTTGCTTTCAGTCTCAGGCCCAGTCGAGGCCGACCCAGAATACAGACTGATAGTCGCAGCTAATAACCTCACAGTGGAGATCGACAACGAGCTCAGTGAGTTGGCTTCTTCTCTCTGGTGATCCATAATGCTATGTTTTAAGATTTCGCTCTCTTCCTTATAATCTGAGATGTCCTCTGTGTTTCTGATCTGTTTCCAGATATCATCCACAAGTTTACCAGGGACAAATACTCCAAGAGGTTTCCAGAGCTGGAGTCTCTGGTGCCGGATTCTTTGGATTACATCCGTACTGTCAAGGTGAGCTAAACTATGTATTCATTCAAAAAAAGAAGAAGCTCCGAGTTGACTGTTTCTGTTTTTTAGTTAGATTTAGGATTTCTATTTTTAACAAAACTGACGTGATTAAAGAGTTTAAAACTGCACAGATTGAAAATTATGTTGCAGTTAAAATTTTCCAATTTCGGCTTTCAAATTTCTCTGTTTAACTGCAAGCAAACGTGTTAAAAAAATTGTTTCTTGTAGTTTGTTTGACCATGATGTTTTCTCCCCTAATTTTTCTTCTTTTTTGTGGTTTGTGTCTAGGAGCTGGGAAACAATCTGGAGAAATGCAAAAACAATGAGACGCTGCAGCAAATCCTTACCAACGCCACCATTATGGTTGTCAGTGTCACAGCCTCAACCACACAGGGGTAAGTTTATAAGATTTAAAGGCCCCGTCTCACCAGAAGAGTTTCATGTAGTTCACTGTGAACACTTCCTGCTAGAATCACCTTAAATCACTTACTGGAAATGAAAAACTATGGGGTTGCTAACGCTGGGGGGCTGGAGCCTATCCCAGCTTAATGGGGAGAGGCAGGGTACACCCAGCACAGGTCACAGGGCTAACACACAGATGGGCAACTGTTCACATTCCTGGTCATGTTCACACTCATATTCCTACCTATGGTCAATTTAAAATCACAACCATGAATGCATGTTTTTGGACTGTGGGGGGAAGCCTAAAGAGAACCCACACAGACCAAGACAGCATGAAAGACCCAGAACCTTCTTGCTGTGTTGATTGCAGTTTTATTCCAGTTTTCTTCACTTAAAGAAAACTGGAATAGGTCAAGGAAATTGTAATCAGTGCATCTCAAAACTGAAGTGCTAAGCAGTTATTTTATAATAATCAGTGACAGTAGCTCATAGGAAAGGGATGGGGAAACTAAGTTAAGTTACAAAGCATCAATAAGACGTTCATTTTTTTTTCCTATTAGAATAAAAATCATTAACAGGTTATTTTTAAATAATAACTAAATGCACTCAGTATCATTCTTACTATTACATATCGAGAAGAAGTGCACAATCATACCCCTTCTCCATAAGTTATCAGTTTATATTTATCCAGCTTCCCTATTGATATAAACCTCAGTAATAAGAATACACATTTCTAAAAACAGAATATATAAGCTACATAAAATTAAAATTATTATCATCATATCTTATTTTTACAATTGGATAAAAGCCATGTACTTCCAATTTTGGAATATTAATTGTAAAATCTGAATAGGTCTGAAACACAAACTGAACAGTCTTCTTCTTTGAGTCTCATAAATGCCATAACTTTTATACCTCATTTTGAAGTGATTTATATTTGAACAGTTGCAAAATTAAAACTTCCTTCAGTCTTAAAAAAGTTACTTTGAATACTTCCTGTTTTCAAAGTGACCTTTCCTTTGAAAACTACATTTCTGCTCTTTTGAATTTCATTAGGTCTGTGAATTTCAGTGTTTCAAGCTATAAGAATAATGAATTTGTGTGATTGCTATAACCTGTGTTATAGCAATCATACAAAGAGTAGCCCGAGTAAGCTGTATAGGCAGAGATCACCCTCACTGATTTCTGATGCACACCTTGTCTTGCCGAAGTTGACAAGAGAAACAAGGGTTATCGATAGTAGAGCTTCAAGGAGGAAAGAGTTTGTGTTGTTATGTATTTTTGGTTATTACTGTAACTGAACGGCGACTGTGCCACTTGTGCCTTCAGGTCGTTGCTGAGTGAGGATGAACTGAAGCAGCTGGAAGAGGCGTGCGACATGGCCCTGGAGCTGAACCAGTCTAAACACAGGATTTATGAATATGTAGAATCCAGAATGTCCTTCATTGCTCCAAACCTGTCCATCATTGTTGGAGCATCAACAGCAGCAAAGATCATGGGTGAGAGAAATCTACTGACTGCACAGTGTTTACAAATGTACATCATCTTCAATGAGGATTGTTTCGGTGACTGTCCGGTCTCTCCTGTGGATGCAGGTATCGCCGGAGGCCTCACTAACCTGTCAAAGATGCCAGCCTGTAACCTGATGCTGCTGGGAGCGCAGAGGAGAACCCTCTCTGGCTTCAGCAGCACCTCTCTGCTCCCTCACACCGGCTTCATCTATCACTGCGATGTTGTGCAGTCATTGCCACCTGTCAGTGAATATATGAGCATAAACTGCATGAATGCATTCTGTTCAGCGTGACGGTTAACAGTGTCCTTTCCTCCTTCAGGATCTCAGGAGGAAGGCAGCTCGTCTGGTGGCTTCAAAATGCACTCTGGCCTCAAGAGTGGACAGTTTCCACGAGAGTTCAGATGGCAAGGTGAGTCTCTTAAAGGAACACCTAAGTTTTATAAATGCCTTGTGTATTAGAGCAAGAATAAATGTACCAGCAGATACAGAGATTATGATTTCTCTTGTCTGTTGATGTATATTTGGTTGGATTTTTCATATTTACATGCAAAATTATTTGCAACTGAGGAAAAATAAAGTTGATTTTTGTTTCATTTGGCTTAAAAATATTTGTCACTGTTTGCAGGTTGGCTATGATCTAAAAGAAGAAATAGAAAGGAAGTTTGATAAATGGCAGGAGCCTCCACCCGTGAAGCAAGTCAAACCACTGCCAGCCCCGCTGGATGGACAGAGGAAGAAGAGAGGAGGAAGGAGGTAAACAATCTGTCAGCTACCTGAAACAGGCCTGCCAGAATAGACTGCTAAAGAGGATTGCAGTCTGGAGATGGAAATTGATTATTATTGGAATCTTTTAAGAGGGAGAAGGTTACTGAGATTAAACTGATCTAACATTTATTTGAAAAAAGTTAAAAAATTCAGCAGAAACAGAACAAGGCATGACACAGATCAGCATCCTGGAAGCCTGAAAGAAGCTTACGTAACTTTCATAGCCAAGTTTAGACTACCACCAACGACTATAAATATCCAGTGACTGGCATAACCAAGCTCCGCTGCTCTTTTCCTGCAGGTACCGAAAGATGAAAGAGCGTCTCGGGCTGACTGAGATCAGAAAACATGCCAACAGGATGACCTTTGCAGAGGTCAGTACATATTTTCTCCGCTCCTGTTTTTAAGATTTGTTTTTAATCCAGTGATATTTCATGTTTCATTATTGATGTCTGACTATGATCCATAATTCATTTAGCATTCTTTTCTTTTATTCAAAGATGCTTTTAATGAAGACAGAAGGAAAACCGTACAAATAGTTAACACAAAAAATAATAATATAGTAATATAGACACGTTACTAAATATGAAGACATGCAGGAGGAATCTCTTCTCTTCCTCTGGTTAGTAGTAATGTAGGGGTTTACACATTTGCCTAATAAGCAAAAGAGGAGACTGCTGCTATGGGCGATCCCTAATGAATAAGAAAGCAAGTGAAAGCTTTTAGTAATTTCAGACCTGGGATGAATGACGACTCAAAGCAGCCTCACTTTTGGCTCGCACCAGCTTTGTGCAGCAGAGCCAGTGTAACAGGATGAGGTGTTTGCGTAGGTTCTCAGTTATCCAGGTCATGGTAGTCCCTGAAAAGAAGGTCGCTGTACTTCATAGGAGAAACCAAACAACAAACAGATGACATGATGTACACAACAGTGGCTGTGCAGGTTACATGTTTTATGACTGTTTACATTCACTGCTGCCATCTTGGATTGTGCAGTTGTGACTGATGGGGCTGCTCTGAATTTCTGAGTTGGAAGTCCGACGAGAAGGGGTTATTCCAGTTGAAAATTCCAACTCAAATAGAAGCCACCATAAAAACCTGAGACTCTGTCAGCTGTTCTGTTTTAGAGCTGAAGAAGTCTCTTGGATGAGAACATCTTCACAAACTTAAGGAGGTCCAGTTCCTTTCTTTTCAAGCACCCAACAAGACGAGCTATTTTTATTTTATTTTGTACTCACCGAGACTTCCCCCAACACTCTGAAGGAGCTTCAGCAAGATGATTTTACTGCAGTACAAACAGTTTCTACTCTGGTCTGTTAATAAATGTGCAGTTTCTGAGCTGCTTATTGCTCTCTGTGGATGGAGACTTGGCTGTTATGAATGTGTCTTCGTTACCTTAAACCACTGTTTAAAAACGGTCCTAACAAGTATGAAATCCAGTCCTTTAAAAAGAACTTCACATTTGAAAAAGTCTAAAACGTATTGAATATTTTGCTAATAAAGAAAGTAAAGTCCTTTGATTCATAATGGATATAAATTTGAGAGAACTCTTGCAGTAAAGAAAATTAAATTGGTTCATTGTTATATTAACCCCTGTTGGGGAGTGTTCTGTAATCCAGGCATGGACTTCATTGATATTTCGATGGTTAATTATATTACAAGGTGATCCTGCTCCAGTTAATAGTTTTTCCTGTGTTGTGTTGCAGATTGAAGATGATGCGTATCAGGAGGATCTGGGCTTCAGTCTGGGTCAGCTGGGGAAGAGCGGCAGCGGCAGAGTCAGGCAGGCTCAGGTCAACGAGGCCACCAAAGCCAGGATCTCCAAATCCCTGCAGGTAAATGCGCTCTTCTCTCCTGCTGGTGTTTGTATCTACATCATCTCTAACATTTTGGCTTTTGTCCACAGAGGACGTTGCAGAAGCAGAGCATGACATATGGAGGAAAGTCCACAGTCAGAGATCGTTCTTCAGGAACCAGCTCCAGCGTAGCATTCACACCTCTCCAGGTAAAAAGAAGCGGACTCGTTAACTAAAGACCTGCCAGAGAGTTTGGGGTTTTGTTTTGTTTTTTGTTTGTTTTTAAATCTGTTATTGTTTCCTTCTGCAGGGGCTGGAGATCGTGAACCCGCAGGCTGCAGAGAAGAAGGTGGCTGAAGCTAACCAGAAATATTTCTCTAACATGGCAGAGTTCCTCAAAGTCAAGAAGGAAGCTAAGATGTGAAGACATACGGACGCCCTGCACACGGACAGTTGCACAGTTGTGAAAGTATATTTTAAAATTTGGCTCACCTCGTGTTATTTTTTATTTTTATTTTTTGAAAGTTGTTTCGACTTAAGGTTGTTTTTTTTTTTTTTTCCCCCCCATCTAAATAAAATATAGAGTTCACTTTGTAGGTATGTTTTTTCTAAGAACAAGAAACAGGAGCCTCCTCTGTGACATTTGAATTTATACCTGCTTGTTTTGATCTTCTATTTTGAGTGAAACTGAACTAATTATGTTGAATTTTGAGTTAATACAGAGTTTATTTTTACTGAAAGTAAAGCTGCTACGAATAAGATAAAATCCCCACGGTCACTTTATTAGGAACTTGCTAGTACTGGGTTGGACTCTTTTGTCATCAGAACTAGTTTACATTTTTATGGATCTGATTCAACAAGGTGATGGAAACGATCACACAGGTGCTGTAGTTATCAGCTAATGATCTAAATCTCATGTTTCACCACATTTCAAAGGTGACTATGATGATCATCTGAGCTTTGTCAAACGTCCGTAACCTACTGGAAGCAGGTTAACATGCCATGACCACAGTGTACCCATCGCTGTGTCATAAAGGGACACGGTCAGCAACAGAACAGACTTTGCTTTGTGAGGAAAGCAGATGCAACAAGGTTGCATCATTTTACAGGTTTTTTCTTTGTGTAGCTACCAAACAGCACTATGACAGTTATTTAAATCTGCAGGTAATGTGTAGTTACTTTGATGGGCAGGTGCATGTCAGGTGTGCTTACTGTAAGTGAAGCTAAACGCAGCAGATCTTAATATTATTTTCCTTATGTCATCCGGTATTTCTTGGGACACCAAAAAACAAAACAAATGAAAGGTGATGGAAAATATGTGGATCCATATTCCATGTAGGAATGACAGGACTTTACGCCACACACTGATGGATAATTTCTTAAAAGTATTTATTGAAATTTTACAATCCTGTTATAACCCCATTTATGACATCTCCCATGCAGAACTGTGATGAGAAAAATTGTAAATATGTGTTGAAATTCACATTTTAGCAGTTTCACTGACCTTTCTGTAAACCTTAAAAGCCCAAAAAATAGAATCTATAAAAGGCAAATCTCTCAGAACGTTGCTGCATTTTCCTTGTTTTTTTCCCCTCCCACATGCTCATCCCCCTCTTTTCCCTCCCACAAAAAAAAAGCCTGAAAACAAATCACACACAACATAACCTGTGGTACAGAACTCTTCATGGTTGCTTAAATGGAAAACTGATTCGGTTTTAACACTCTCCCTCATTCAAACTGCCAGGAAAAGGTAGGATGCGTCCCATCCCAGATTAAATCTTACTGTTCTTCGGGCTAACACAATGGAACAACCACGGCAGACGAGACACTTTCTACTCAACCCACGAGTTAAATTTACCACCTGAATTTTAGGATTTCTGTTTCAACTCTACATGTAAACAGTTTAGTCAGTGCACATTCACTGTATAGGGCTTTCACTGAAATATCAGGTGGTAAACTGAACTCGGTGAAGTCTGGGATAAAGTAACAACAGAATAAAACCTTGGCTAAAGCTGGGAAGTTGACCCAACCAAACCCAGATTTATTATCTAATGCTGTGTGTACTTTTGAGGAAATGAGGTGACCTGGGTGTAGGTACATTTCCCTCTGCTCAACATGGCCTTGTCACACTGAGGGAAAATTAAACATCAAGTAGATTAATGTCTCAAATCCTATCTTTAAGAGTTGTTTACAAGTTTATTAATTTGTCACAAACATGAAGGCGCAATAATAATGCATTTTCCTTGACACGTTAACTTAAAAACATTTTATTTGTAAAGAGAGGGAGTCAGAGACCAGTTCAATTGCATAGCAATTTAATCCATGTCCAATAAGGACTCTTTCCCTGTCACAGGGAGAGGCCCTGTGGTCACTCTCAATCAGCGTTTTAAATCGACCAAGACAATATCAATAAAACTATTGATAACCGCTCACTATCTTCAATAGTGACCATATTTAACAGGCATTGTAGGATCTTAAAAGAAGCCATTCCTACACACCATGACTAAATGTCCACTGTACGTCCCCATTCTAAACCACCAAATTACAGTAAATACGAGATGGGCAGTTTACTTAATCAAATCCAAAAGTCTGTTTTGTGTCAAGTCAAAAGGCTTCCAGGCTGATGTCGGGTAGGTGGTACAGAGAATCGTGTTGAAACGGGAAAAAAAAAAGACAACTAAACATGAGAAACATGCATGGGGTAGGCTTTCCTAATGCCACATACTGAGTGTGCACACAGACAGGCACAAACGCAGATCTCCAACGAGAACCCTCCCAGCTTGTGCAGCGCGATGCATTTGATCAGACCCACGGGGCATTTTCTTTGGTCAAAAGCAAAGCACTACATGAGGAGCAAGGGCTTCACATTTGAGATGCAGCCTATACAGACACCAGTCTCCAATCTCAGGAGAGGGTTTCTACTACACATCACAATCTCTATCCACAGTTTGGAGTTCAGTCTCGGAATGTCAACAGCAGCACATTTTGTCTTTTCTGTCCTTTTGTGTCCCTCCGTCACTGCAGGTCTCTGTCTTCCAGGTACCTGTACTCGAAGGTGAACCCCTCCTTCTTTCTCTGGCCCCATTTCTCGTAGTCAAAGTAAATGTAAGTGCCCTAAGGGAACAGCAGAGTGGTAAGAATAAAAAAAAACCTTAATCAACACCACAATGACCATAAATGGGTGTGCGGAGATGAACCCGCACCTGTTCAAACTCATCGGTGATGGTCTTGGGCTCCTCGTGCCTCTGGAACCACATCATGTACTTGGTGTGAAACCTCCAGGACTGTTTCTTCAGAGCCTTTGCAGACAGATACTGAGCCTTGGTACCCTGAGAGAGAAGTCAATAAAACCATTATGCTCACAAACTTTAACAGATCACAGAAAAAAGACATTCAGGGTGTTTAGTCCGTTTAATTCAAATCTGTCCTTCTCATTATCCACGTGCACTTTTTGTGCGATGCGGCAGTGCACCATAGATGTCCAGATCACAAAAACGGTCAGTAAATTTTCCACCTTATTTAGGAAATCATTCTGCTCCCGTCCCACATCTAACCAATAAGCTGACTAAAAGTTTTCACATGGTTTGTCGCGATGCATTTTGGTTTCTTTGAGTTTTTTTGTGTGAAAAGGAACCAAATCATAGAAAAAAGCTCCAAGTTTACAAACTCAAACAATCAAACCGATTCGTGTGAGTTTACATGGAGAGCGTTTACCTCCAGGTAATAGAAGATGAAGAAGAGAGTTTCTGTGGACAGTCTCTGGTAGAACTCTATGGAGTCAGAGTGATGAGGTGGGACCTGATGATGGAAGGGCAAGGTGGGACATGGATTCCTCATCAGGTATTGCCTTTAAGACAGAAACAGAAAACTCTTTAATGAATGCCACTGATCAAAGCATACTTCAGCTGTGCTCATTTCTGCTCTAACAAAGTACTCCATCCACACTACCCAAAACCACACGTGAATATTCAGAACTTTCTATTAGTGTCAACAGATGTCACAAACACTTTAAGGTACAACAGGTTCATCTTTTTGCTTATTGAGGTTCCGTTGCGAAGCCTCCAGTTGCTCCCCGAAACTGGTCATGCCGAGCAGGTGTGTGACCCTTCATTACCGAATGAGCATGCCCTGGATAAATTCTCCTTTCTGACTCTAATAATAGTAAAAATTTAAAAAATGAACTTCATAAATTATTCATTACAACTGAAAACTAGCAACTGAGCCCATGAAGTCACCAGAAAAGCGTTTACTTTTAAGCCACAGAGCAACGCAAAGGGCTCTTTTCCCCAAAATTTGTGCAACCACGGATATACAGTACTGTACCAAAGTTTTAGGCAGGTGTGAAAAAATGCTTTCAGAAATATAAATGATTGTTTATTGGCCCCAAATGTATTCTGCAGCAGGATGACCCCAACATACAGCCAAAGTCATTAAGAACTATCTTCAGCGTAAAGAAGAACAAGAAGTACTGGGAGTGATGGTATGGCCCCCACAGAGCCCTGATCTCAACATTATCGAATGCGTCTGGGATTACATGAAGAGACAGAAGGATGTGAGGAAGCCTATATCAAGTTCTCCAAGATGTTTGGAACAACGTGCAAGCCAAGTTCCTTCAAAAAAACCTACAAGAATCGATTCTGTTTTGAAGTCAAAGGGTGGTCACACCAAATATTGATTTGATTTCTCTTTTGTTCATTCACTGCATTTTGTTAATTGATGAAAATAAATGAGTAACACTTCCATTTTTGAAAGCATTCTTTGTTTACAGCATGTTTTCTCACCTGCCTAAAACCTTTGCACAGTATTTTTTGAAACTGCAGAACACTGCACATTTATATGATATTGACTTAAACATTCATAAGTTTGCCCTAAAGCACAAACTTATTTATTGCCCTTCTGGAGACTAATGGGGACTATATTATTTCTTAATTTAATAAAACTAGTGATTAAGAACAAATTTGCTTTAAAAAAAAAAAATCAGGTTTTATGACAAATTTTAAACTATCCTACATATTTTTTTGGCGGAGCAGTATGCATACACAATGCAAATTTTTCATATAATCAAAGTAAATTTGCAAAATTACTGTGAAAAAAAGTGCATCTCCCCCCCCCCCGACGCTAAAGGAAATTGTGATGGGCTCACCTGATCCTCTCAGAGTCAGAGGGGTGGGGCATGTGCGTCCATGCCGACTCCTGCATCGCCTGCTGGTAGAGCTGGTCTTTGGGGAGAGGGGTTGGACCCAGCGGACAAACACCGAGCGATGGGGGGATGTTGACCTCTGTCACGGACGGCTGAGGCGCGGCAGGTGTGCCAGGTGCTGCAGATGAACCAGAGAAGATATCTGCAGGATGCAGAAAAAGCAACGGCTATCTTCAATTACACAAGAAGCCATAGCAATGCCTCACTTCCCATCATCTGTGTGGGGTATGGTTAGATGTGACTCTTAACGACAGGGCGAGCAACTGAAGGTAAAGTTTTAAGGTTATTCCTTTAGTTGTACCAACTCTGTTTTTATAAGAGTAAGAACATTCCAACAGTAAACTAATTACAGACATAATCTAGCCTCATGGTTGTAGCTTGAATCAAAAAAGGCCTTGACCTGAAGTTTGGACCTTTCTACACTCTCTTTCCAGGTACTCTGGCTTCTTCCCACAGTCCACAGACTTGCATGTTATGTTAGCGGGTGATTTTTGATTGGCCATGACTGTGAGTGTGAGCATGAATGTTGGTCAGTTGACCCTGGGGATAGGCTCCACCCCCGACACTCTAAACTGGATAACAAATGAACAAAAATGTGTGTGTGTGTTTTAAGATAAGCAATCCCTATGTGCCAATAACTCAGGCTCCAGACTGCTCTAAACTCTCTGATTTTTTTCTACTTCTGGCTGCCTCCTCTGTGAATCGAAGCATAAAAATGCCAAGCTGGAAAGAAGCAAAACAGGAACTTTCCTTCCTACACTTTGGCAGCAAAACTCATAATTATGTTCACGAAGCAGTAACAATCTGGCATTAAAAGGAAAACTAAATGTTACCAGAACAAAGGGAAATGTCTTAAATATGTCACACATAAAAACCTCCTGCCTCACAAAAACAGCTGGCAGCAACAAGCTAATGTTTGTTATCTTCATAAAAGACAAATAATAACTTAGTTTGTAAAAAAAAAATTTTTTAAAAATCAGTTTTTACACTTTAGGCTTAACTCTTTACGTTACCATGAGCAGTGTGTAAGAATGTTTTACTGTACAATTATTTAAAAAAACAAAACAGCAAGCAGCATAAAAGCGTGATCTGCTTATTCATCATAAAGAGCTGAAAAAAGGTAAAAAAGGTCTGACCGTTTCGACCTCTATCCGTTATATGCAGGTTGGAAATCTCGCCATCCAGGCCTGATCCCAGCGCTGCTCTCTCCGCCATCGCCTTCAGAGAGCTGAGAGGCTCAGGTGCCTGAGGAGGGAACAAGGCCCCATTAATGTGAACACACAGAGGCTAAAAGTCACATTAAACTGGGAACAGCCTACAGTTACTGGAGCTTAAAAGTAGAAGCACGATGAATGGGAGCATTAGAAGAAAGTAATACTAGAAGAGCAAACAACATATTAAATAAAGATCAGCTACTAATAAAACTTTTAAGAACAAGATGTTTTTCTGTCAGCTGCACTGCTCAAAGACAGGAGCACCTGTCTAAATGTATGCATTCATCCCCTTAACACCTAGTCTATCATATTTAATACACACAGTTTTTTGTGAGTTTTTGAGACTTTAGAGCATCGGTGTGATTTATTTATTTATTTATTTTTACACCTGAAAAAAAGATTAAATTGCAGAATAAATTTTTTTTTTAAATTTAAGAAACAAATTTAAAAATGTAAAATCGAATACATTTTTAAACAAATTTGTCAGATTGTTCAATAAACTCTCCATTTAAAAAAATGCTTGGAATTTAATTTTCTGGCAATTATTTCATATATCAGGCTTATAGGGGTTATTACCTGTAGCAGAAAGGCTCCAAACAGACAAAAGTCAGGATCTGCGTGTTTTCTGGCAGTAACATGAGTAAGTGCACAGTAAGTGTGTGTTTGTTATAAATGTGATCAGCAGAGGTTTGTGGGCACTCAGGGATAATGTAATAATTTTATACTCAGCAGCAAAAACTATGGATTCCAGCACAGACAGGAATGTCTCAATTCAAAAACAATTCAGTTAGCTGGTTATCTTCTGACCTCAGGAGCTCCTACATCAATCATATCATTCATATTCTCCATTTCTGATTTTGATTATGAGCCACTATGTTGTAATCGTCCAAAGCAGACTTGCTGTGTGCTCCTATACAAACAACAAATCTGTTTGAAATCAACTGTGTGTTAACATGATAATGATTCACCTCGTAGCTGATTGGATTGGTTCACAGATTAAACGTTTTTTCATATAAGATTTTTCTGGAAATTCACTTCCAGAAACAGAGCCTTTAAAAAGTGGGCGGTCACTGTTGAGCTGAACTGACAGACCTGATCAGAAAATGTTGATGGAAGTGCTCCTAGTAATGCTCCTGCTGACACTATGGCCTATTATTCTTGGTGTGATACGGCTGATTCAACAGTGTGTGGGTCATTTTTATTCCCAAAAACAAATATATTTTTTTTGTTTTTCAATATTTTACTATAACTTTTCACTTATAATCACTGAAATGTTTCAGAGTAAACATGAATAACTGACCCATTATACTGCTTACTGCTGCACAACCCTTGAAGCTCAAAGTGACAATGAAAACAACTTAACTAACAGATAAGTTGGGTTCATTTAAAAAATAAATAAATAAAAAAGAAAAGACAACTTATCAGACCTGATAACTATTTACATTAACACAGTTTAAAATATCTCACAGACAAAGGAAATCATTTATGTATGGTAAACAAAAGCAGAGCCATTAAATAAGGTATTCCTGTATAAAATATATTGTGTGCATGACCCCAGTCACTAATTTTAGCCTCTGAAGTTTTTTCTTCCACAAATGGAGCCTGTTTTAGCTGATTCAAGTCTGCAAGTTCATCCATGCTCCAAGCTAAAGATGCCAATGTTACATGCTCAAACTTAACCTCGTTGGTATGGCTCACCTTTAGCCCCTCAGAGGCCTGTGAAAAGGAGTGGGGCCCGTTGAGAAGACTCCCTCCACCCGGTGTGCTGTCTGAGAACGAGGGGGACGGAGAACTGGGAGGCAGGGTGATGGAGCTGATTAAACTGGGACCATTGTCCATCCTGCAGAAGGTGGGGTGGGAACAATGGCGAGAAAGTTAAGAACCAGCATGACAAGAACAAGAAGAAACGTGTCAAGTTTCAGGAGAAATAACTTACGGCTGACTGGTTGAGGAACTGAGAGATGAGGGTTGGCTGCTTTGTGACTGGTTCGGTGTGCTTAGAGCCGATTCTGTGGAACTCTCCGCCACCACAGCACTGTAACCTGCAGGCAGGCGAAGGACACGTTAGAGCAAAAAAAAACTTTTATAGAAATCTCACAATGAACTCAAGGACCGCAAAACTTCCACCTACTTGTGCTTCCATTTTGCTTCAGTCCACTTGGTGGTCTAGCAGGAGCAGAATTCACTCCTACTCCTCCAACCACACCAACGTTTCCTCCGTTGCCTCCCATCATGCCAACTACTCCTGGAGTAGAGCTGACAGAACTTGGGGGAACCTGAGAGGTACCAGGGGCCACACTTTGCCCAGGAACCAGACTCAAAATATTCCCACTCAGAGAGTTGTGGGCTGGACTGGAACCCAGCAAACCAAGCCCTGTTCCTGCCCCGTTGGTGGTGACTCCACTGGAGCCAGAGGTGGGTATGGAAGTGCTGCTCTCTGCTGAAATGCTTGACTGAGTGGTGCTGCTCAAACCCAAGCCTCCGGATGCTGCTGCCTGAGCATAAGGGGCAGGTGTTGAACCTGAAATGAGCCCTGCCATTGTGTTTAAAGGAGTGGGGTGGCCACCCATCCCTAGCCCTGGCATTTGATTGGCACTGCTTGTCCCAGTCATGCCAACTTTGCTCAATCCCAGGCCCAGCCCAAGTCCCAAACTGGATGCCGATGTGGGTCCAGATGTGGACTGTGACTGAGGATTGGGAGCTGATGAAGTGGATGTGTTGGGTGTAGGAAGAGAGGGGGCAGTAGACGTTGGGAGAAGTGGGTTGCTGGGTGGGCTGGGGGTGTTGTTTGAAGGGACTGAGGGTTTCGTCTGAGGTGGCTGCTGCTGCTGCGACTGGTTTGGCGGCTGAGAATTCTGCTGCTGCTGTTGTGCAGGTTGATGCTGATGTTGCTGCACCGCACTGCTGAAGCTTCCTATAAGACTGCTGCTAGTGGGCACTGCAGGAATCCCTCCGACAACACTCGCCATGGACACAAGGGAGGAGGATGAGGAGGACCCAGAGGTGGTGGAAGAAGAGAAAGAGGATAACAAGGATGGGGTGCCGTTCTTCACAGGTGACTGGAAATAAACATCAGAGGAAGGCATCTCAAGTAAAACTGACCAGAGGGCATGAACAGAGATCTAAAATGCATAAGAAGCAAAGTTTACTGTGATCTATGGAGGCCCATATATGAAGGAAATGGAAAAAACTAAATCAGAAGTCTCCAACCATGGTCCCACAGAGAAACTCCATTTTAGTGCCTGAGAGGCCAAAACCCTTCAGCCACCATGGCTCACCAGGACCAAGGATGAAGAGCACTGCACTAAACTGTTCATCTACTGACACAGCACAGATGCGAACCTCTCACCTGACTAACTTCACTGTCTGTCGACCGTCCCCTTTTCTTATCGTCCTCTGAATTCTCCTATAGGAGGAGATACTTTGATATGACAATCCACTTTTGAAATGTAGATTCAACATACTAGCCAGTGGATTATAATACAATGGGGAATGTGGGTGGGTTAACCAAGTGCAAACTTAAAGAGACAGGCATATATGCACAATTGTGTAAGAATGTTCTTTAACTATCCAACATCCCTTTAACACCAGGACCAAAACTTTAATGATAAAAAAAAGACACAAACTCACAGCAGTGCAAGTGGCTGGGGATGGAGGGATGGGTGAAGAAGAGGTGGTGGAAGTGGGAGTGCTACTAGAGTGGAGATACACCTCATCTTCCACGTTGCCCTGGCCCGATGGCGAAGTTGCAACTAATGCTGCAGCTACAAGAGAAGAGTAGGACATAAAGATAAGCATCAGATATCGTCATGACATCAACATGACAACTATTTTACTAAGTCATTAAAACAAGAAGAAAGAACAGACTAGTTGCCCAAAAGGAAGGAAACAATATGAAAACATTCAAAACACTGCAGGAACTGATGGATTTGGTGAAACCATGGCTGTGCTATGTAACACTGTTTACCAATCAAAACGTGGTTTAAATGCCACTGAACTGTGTGGCAATTTGTGTTGTGTACAACATGCACGCATGCAGATTAGTTTGCTGAGTGGGACCAACCAAGTATTACCAGCAGGTTAACGTCCATTTTCTCATCACTTCATTCGAGTCAGAGTGTATCAGTTTACTCTGACACAGCTAACATATAATCACTTTCTACATCCAATTACAATGGAGCTGTGCTGCTTCATCTATCTTACTTTGTACAAAACTTCCCAGTGCAGAGAGAGAGGGGCTAATCTACCAGAGCTGCACCCCAGGTAAGTGGCAGGTGGCATCATAACATCTTTGAACCAACAGGTAACTGCTGGTTTACATTAATGAAGTGAGAATAATTTCTTAACTGACTAGAATTTCTGGTATCGTAAAGCAAGAGCAGCAAAACTTAACAGAACACTCGCACACTAGACAGTGCTCTACTTACGGATGTCTTCCAGATCTAAGTCATCGTACAGGAACTCATTTTCCTCAAAGTCTGGATCTTGAGAGGAGTCAATGTAATATTCAACATCATCCTTGATCTTTTGGATTGCATCCACTGGCACGGAGTCATTGTCCAGCATTCGTAAAATGGTCTCCAACATTCGAATGTGGAATCGATGTCTCTCAATCAACCGCTTGAGCTCATCAATACGATCTTGCTTCTACAAGACAAAAAAAACAAGTGTGTATGTATGTTAGGATATATTAACCAAAAATTTAACAGACAGTTAAAATTTAACCAGACAGTTTAGAAACAGACATCCTTTCAGAGAGTGACATGGAATGACTCACCTCTTTATCACCCTTCTTCTTTCTTGTTTGAACTGAAAGAGATTCCACTTCACTTTCAAACTGATCCACCTGCATATTTAGAGTGTCTATTGTATTCTGCAGATGAGAAAAAAAAAGAGTGTTAATTTTTTCAGATCTTATTAATTTAACCATGTTTTGGGAATATCTGTGGTTGATTTGATACAATTGTTACGTTGTTAAGTTTTTTGTCTATGCCTTTTCCAAAGAAATGGTTAAAAAAAAATCACGCACAGAAGCATAGGTAAAACATAAATGTATTTACTGTTAGCCACTGTCCCGTTTCCTCCTTTTCCCTCTGAGCTGGATCCACTTTCTGAGCAAGCCCCAAGCCTTCTTTAGAGTAGGCTTTTGTTTTTGTTTCACGTTCCACCACCTTGAACCGCTCCATTTGCTAAAGAAAAAAAAAAGCTGCTAATTACTTCAGGTCTGATGTAACAATGTACTTTAGTTATACATAATATAAATGCAACACTTTTTCTTTTTTTTTTAAAAGTACACTTGTGAAGATCCATACCGTTTCTATAAGTTTGCGGTTCTCAACTAGCTGCCTTTTGTCCTTGATCTCGTTTGAGGCCACCCATGTTTTTATTTGATCTCTCAATCGCTGAAAGAGCACAGATGGTGAGCATTTTAAAAATCACATAGCTAATTCTGAATACTTACATGGTCATTGTTAAGCTTTCTTACCTGAAGTTTTTTAATCTCTTTCTTGAGGTCAGCCTCATATTTTTCCTTCTGATTTGCATTGGCTGCATTGTGGAGCTAAAATGTAAACAAATCATTTAGATACTGTGTGTCTTTTCCTCATTAGTTACTAAATAGACAAATAAATACAGAATGGAAGAACCTCTTACCTTCTGCCAGATATCTTCAAACTGTTCTACACCTTCAGCTACTTTTTTCAAACATCTATCGATTTCACCTGCACAAATTCAAAAAATATGATGCATTACCAAAAGACCTTATAAACTCTTTCAAAACAGTAAGAGCATGCAAGAGGAAATAAAGCTTCCTGTACACCAGCAGACCCTACAACGTGATTCATATTGTGCAACATAACTGAAGACCGTTTCTTTTACCTTGAAGTTTTCTCTTGTCAGCCATGGCTCTGACTACGACAATGTCCACATTCCGTCTGTCACGAAGTTATCTGGGTGAAGAAATCGAAGCGTGTGTCAATACAAACAAAAATCCCTCCAAAAGAGGAATCGTTACATCGCTTTCCACAGTGAACCTGACATTAACTCCATCTAGCTACCCGGCTGACGTTAGCAGCTAAATAACACCACAGCTTCAGAATTTAAGCACGCTCAATGAAAATAAAGTTTTCTATGGCCACTTCTCCATCCTAGTATTGTCATATATCACCTTGCTAATATTTCCAACACAAGTGACATGGTTGTCAGCTAAATTTAGCCACCTAGCACGCTAACGCTACTCAGCTAACGTTAATACTAGCCAGTAGCTTAGCCTCTCCACCTCGCTCGGTTCCTAACCGACCCGTTTCCTGGAACTGCCCCGGTGCATGCTGACAGAACAACTTCATATTCATGCATTATTAATTTGGGGTCCAGCACAGTCTTTATATTGTGGTTTTGCGTTGTGAAAGGCACAATAATAACAGAATCCGTTCCAATCTCTAACATGCTAGCTAATGCATAAAATGCTAGTTAGCAGCTTAGCTTGCCAGCTAGTCAGATTTAGGAAAAAGGGATACTGGGTCAAGCCGACAATCTAGATTTATACTTGTGTACGACATTTACCTAGGGTATGGGATTTCGTTTGTCTTTTTTCAAATAGAGCCAAAACTAATTCCAGAAAGTCTTCTTTACTTCCAAATTGTGTTTTCTTTTCGACAAGCTCGCTCACTGTAATGTAGCTGAAGATGGACGGTAGCTAAAATCCCACCTCCTTGCTGGGGATCCCGCCCTAAATCCAATCTTTAAACTCTGATTGGATATATCTCACGCCTGTCATTGCGAAACATCCGCTGGAACGAGAACCAGCCATTGGCTCAGCGAAGTGACGATCGATGATCGACACAAACCCACCGCTCCGCCCGAGGTTCACAAAAATGCAAATTTCTACATTTAAATAGTTTTTTTTTAGTTTTTTTACGAACTTATAACTTCATTGTGTGGAAATTGTATACCTCGTTTCGTTATTTGAAAATGTATTTTTAATTTAATTTCTTAACACTAGTTAGAATGTTGCAATGTAAAGGATTGAACAATATTTAATATAAACAAACAACCAAAACTTAAAAGATATGCTGAAATAAAACAGAAATATGCTAAATGTTTTGTGACAAATATCATGTTGATATTTGTCTCAAAATCAAATCCATAGATTGGCGTGCCGTTATTTAGCCACACCTAAAAATATTAACAATTGTTAGCCAATTATGACACACATATACTGTGTCACTCCATAACATATTTTCTCCTGTATGAAACAGAAAAATAACTAGTATAAAGTAATAATAATAATAATAATAATAATAATAATAATAATAATAATAATAATAAAGACGACATTTCTATCTCTGAAAATATAGTGCCACTTCATTTTCTTTGTGGCAGTTTTCTCCAAAATCTGATATGCTCGTGATGTCTGGGTATCTTTTACTAATTAGTATAGAATTAGACAGGCTAGTCTTTCTTTGACTACAATTCACATGCATTGGGCAAAAGCCAGACTTTAGAAAAGTGTATGTCCTGCAGAGCAAGTCACAGTGTTGGACTTAGTCTCAGGATAGGGGACGGGGACAAGGAATAACAATGTTGTGCAGTTCCTTTTAAAGACTGACATCAGGCCACCCTTATATATGCAGAAGAGCAGAATTTGGCATAAACAACATCAAAACACAAATCCACCCAGGCTTTTATCAATGGTTCAGGCTGCTGCTGGTGTAAAGGTGTGGAAGATGTTTTCGTGGCACATTTTGGGCCATCATTTAAACGCCACAGCCTACCTGAGGATTGTTGCTGACCACGTCCATCCCTTTATGCCCACAGTGTACCCATCTTCTGATGGCTGCTTCCAGCAGGATAGTGCACCATGTCACATAGCTCAGATCATCTGAAACTAGTTTCTTGAACATGACAATGTTCACTGTATTCAAATGTCCTCCGCAGAGATTTGCATCATGGATGCGCAGCCTACAAATTTGCAGCAACTGTGTAATGCTATCTTGTCAACAAAGACCAGAATCTGTGAAGAATGTTCTTAGCGCCTTGCTGAATCTATGCCACAAAGAATTAAGACAGATCTAAAGGAAAGCACTGTGTGCCAAATGAAGGGGTAGGTAAGTGTATTGTGTAATGTTTATTTTAAATGTACGTTTTTTATGTCATATTTAACATCTCTCTCACTCTCATATCTTTATCTATATATTTTTTTTTTTTGGGGGGGGGGGGATTAACAGTATTAAAAAGATGAATAAATGTCAAATTGACTGCTCTAGCATTTTTTAAAAATTTTTTATTTTAACACAAACAAACTGTAACTGAAACTTGTTATTCAGGCCTAATATTTGTGTAAAAGCCTTCCATATAGGTGATGGGGTTGATTTTCAGGAACTGGCCATGGCTCCTTAGTTCCAGTGAAGGGAACTCTTAATACTTCAGCATACCAAGACATTTTGGACAGTTTCATGCTCTAAACTTTGTCGGAACAATTTAAGGATGGTCCCTTGCTATTCCAACATGACTGTGCACCAGTGCACAAAGCGAGGTCCATAAAGACATGGATGAGCGAGCTTGGTGTGGAAGAACTTGACTGGCCTGACTGACCTCATGGCATTCATCTTTGGGATGAATCAGAGCAGAGACTGCGAGCCAGGCCTTCTCGTCCAACATCAGTGTCCGACTTCGCAAATGTGCTTTAGGAAAAACGGCCAAAAATTTGGATAAACACATTCCTAAACCTTGTGGAAAGCCTTCCCAGAATAGCGGAAGCAGTTATAGCTTCACAAGGTGGGGTGAAATCATGTCAAACCCTATCGATTAAGAATGAGATGCCACATTAAGTCCATGAGCATGTGAAGGCAGATGAGTGAATACAAAAGAGGGAAAAAACAAAATCACAGAAAAGTAAACCCAAACAGCACAGTGTAAAAGTTTAATATGACGACGAGTCCATCTGCTTGCTCGGATAAACTCCTAACTCAAGTAATGATAGTAATACCCTGTCATATTCATCTAATACGTCAAATATTTATCAAATCATGTTTTCAGCATCACGTGCTTGTCATAAATATGTTGCCATCAACTGTCAACTGTAAAAACATAACCTCGTATATACAAAACAAATATACACATATATAAGGTGAATAACATCTCGTGTTACATGAACTCAATCTGTTCACAATATTCAAGTGAAACCACAACATTACAAAGATTGACTCAAGTAAGGCAGTGTTTTAAACAGTCCTGGAAACTGGGTGCTCTTATCCTAGTCACCATCATCGTGATATCCAGGACAGCGGTTTGATCAATGAGACAGTGAGGTCGGGCTGGACATTTCTCCAAACTGTGACTCTGCCAACGCCGACATCTCCGGGTCGATCTGAGAAAAGAAGGTCGGTGATTTGGACTACCAGCATTTTAACATACCCACAGTTAAACGTCCACAGGCAGCATCTGATCAGGAAAGAGCTTTACTCACCTGTGGCTCTTTATCCTTTTCTTGACGAGGAATTCGATGCCTCTTTTTCTTTGTCCCAGCCACATGATGTGATGTTGCAGATGGAGTGGAACCGGAAACACCGTTGAGCTTTTCATCCTCCGCTGCAGCAGCCGGCTCCAAATGGGCTCCAGATTCATCCTGAAACAAAGGCAAGGGGAAAAACAAAATAGTATTCATAACTATCTCTGTAGGACCTTTCAAAGTTTAGCAAGCAAAAGCAGAAGAATTAATACAAACAGAAAGCTGAAGGAAAACCCTGCCTACTGCCCTGGCCTGAAACTACCAACATCAGGAAAGGTTTCACAGAATGAGGGAGCCACAGGTTATTTTCCCATACACTTCTATAAAGTAAGTCTTTTTGGACCCAGAGAAGTTGCGCTTTGGTATCCATTAAAAAGAAGGTTTAAGGCACTAACGCAGGGGTAGGGAACTCCAGGCCTCGGGAGTCAGTGTCCTGCAGGTTTTAGATCTCACCCTGGGTCAACACACCTGAATCAAATGATTAGTTCATTACCAGGCCTCTGGAGAACTTCGGTTGTATCCCAATTCAGGGTCTGCAGCCTTAAAGGCCGCATTTTAAGGCCAATTGCGTCACAGCGATGCGACGAAGACTGTCCCAATTCAAAGGCTGCTCGAAATGCGTCCCTCAAATGCGTCCTTCA